CACAGCCTGGGCTCAAATTCACAATCAGCCTGCCTCAGCCGCCCAGAGTGCTGGGATTACACATGGGCTATAAGTATCTTACTCTTTATAAACTAATTTTCCCAGAGAACTTTTATGTTCTGAATACAGAAAAAGGGAAACTTGTACTTAATAGGTATGAGTGTAAACTGATTAAACTATGTTGGAAAAAAGCATGGAATTTCAAAAAAATGAGCATGGGGACTTTGAACTACCTCTGATGTACCACCAAGCTCTAAATAACCTTTGGTGTAATTCACCCATCAGTTTAAAACCAAGCCCAGGGGCTAGGGTTGTGACTCTGGCAGTGCTCACCTGGCATGTGTAAGGTCCTGTGCCCTGACCTATATGGCTCCTGACGTTCTTGAGGTTAAGGACTGTGAGAAGATGAGAAAAATAAGAGATACAGTTGAGGTTAGGTGGAGTCCTTATCCTCTTGATGGGAGGAAAGGTACTGGCTCCTCATTGCAGGCATGTCTATTCAAACTTTTTAGCAACTTAATGTCACAGGACACCCTGTTGTCCTAGCAACCCACTGTTCAGACAGACTGTTTTGGGGCTAGGTGTTCTCTGGGCTGAAGAAGCTTCCGAGCATTCTTTGTTCTTGAGATAGTCATGCTCCAGTCTTGCATGTGTGGTCAATTTGCAGCTTCAAGGGCTCCCAACAGTCCTAGGTTCATCCCTAGCACTACAGAGTGCATGACTGAATTGACAGTGTGCAAACCCAGCCACTTGGGGCCCAGAGAAGGGGCTTTCATACCTCAGAATCTTCAAAATCTCATTGAGTGGCTCTTTTATCTCTTAAGACCAAAAGGAGAGGAGGGTGGTGGTGATCTGATTTACGAAATGACTTTACCTGGTATTGATTTTGCCTGGTAGAGGCCTTTCCCCTCACCATCCTCTCATGACCAAGAGCCCTTGTCACAGGATCATTTTCTGAAGACTGGCAGTGGCCTCTTAACCCCCAGGACTGTAACTTGGAGCCAGAGTTGCTTGCAATGTAGTGCAGAATGCCTGGTGGCCCATCAGCAAGACCTTTATCACTGTCTAAGCTGTTGTAATAGGAATAGTGACATGGGATTTAGAATTCTAGTAGGCAGTAAGGACACTAACCCGAAAATGAAGTTGGGAAGTCCAAAATAGAATCTGCTGAGTCGAAACCTGAATTCTTACAAAAACATCTTCCAGGTGTCCTTTGGCTGTCTGGAATTTCCCTAGGGAATGGTCATCAAGTCCACTGGCTCAAGGGTACATGCAGCCCACATGGGCACAGCGTGAACACTGTGTAGACTAGACCCTAGTAAGACAGATTATATTGTCTCCACAAGGTCTCAAGCTATCGTCTAAAATTTTCAAATGGTGAGAAAAGGCCCTTGTGGGGCTTGGATAGCAGGAGCTTTATTTCCTGGCCTTTTTCTCTTTTTGTGGGAAAGGGATACATTTTGAGACAAGGTTTTTTTTGTTTTGTTTTTGTACCAGGCATCGAACTCTCAACTGCATGCTTGCAAGGCAGGTGCTTATGCCCCTGAACTAAATCCCCAGCCCCTTGAGACAGGGTCTTGATCTGTACTTTAGGCTGGCTGCCCATGAACTCACTATGTAGCCCAGGCTGACCTTGAAGTGGTCCTCCACCCTCGGTCTCCCAAGTGCTGGGATTATAGGTATGGCCCCCTAGCCTGACTGCTTTATCTCTTTTAAATATATTTGCTTGCACCCTATCTCCTCCAGCTGTGATTTCCTTCTTCGTTAGCATGGGACATGACCCTGGCATTATGTTAACAGTATTTTGTCTTCAAAAGATGTTTAGAAATAGGGGCTGGGGATTTAGCTCAGCGGCATAAGCACCTGCCTTGCAAGCAGGCAGTCGTGAGTTCGATCCCTGGTACCGATGATTAAAAAAAAAAAAAAAAGATGTTTAGAAATAGTGCAACCAGAAAAAGAAAGATCTAAATTGCATGCAAGCAGCCAAAAATGAAACCTAGAATACTTAGCAGAAAGGACAGTGTTTCTGGAAAAAGGCCTGGGGAAACTGGAGCTGGCTAGGAGGGCTTGATGGCCAGCTCAGATAGATGCTGCACATGATTCCCCGGGTCACCCATCCCAAAAGGCATGTCTGCTTGGTGCCAAGAGAAATGAGACAACAGGGACCAGCTCTCTAAACAGTTTATTCAGGACAGCAAGGGATTCCCCAGCTGAGATAGGTGTGCCATGGTAACTAACCTTTGGTGTATACAAGGGGGTAGGCAAGGGGCTCCCCTTTAAAGGCTGAAGAAGATACATCCATGGGACAATCAAAAATCACCATAGGGAGGAGTGACTGAGGCAGATTAGGGTGTGGCAGATTGGCAGAGGAAGCAGGCATGACCTGTCCAAAGCCCCAGGATGCTTGCTCAGAACAGTTCTGTTAACAAGATGTTAGGCTGGCCTGAGCTACATAAGAGAGACCCTGTCCCAAATAAACATACACACACACACACATTTGCTTGTCTCAGGTATACCTTGTCTCTGGGCCTGACTGGCCTATCATGGCTGATTTCCCAGCTGTGGTAGGCAGGTTCATTTTCACAAAGTAATAGGAAGGCTTATATGTGGGCAACTTCTCATCAGGTGGTACAATAACTTAGGGTCCTGTTTACAGGCCATTTTTCTCACAAGCAACATTATAGAAGAAAACAAAACCTGTGCTTCCTTTTCATAAGATCATAACTGATACCTGGTGTTGTAGGATAGACAGACAGCCTAATAAGACTGCAATCCAGAGCCAACCTGGTACTGTGTATGAGGCACAGACAAAACATACCACACAATCCAACACTGATTCCTAAAAAAGCAAAAGATGAAGTCAACAGTTCCTTACAGTTCTTCGAAGTGATGGTCCTTGTATCAAATTGCCCCAGAGGGTTCTGTTTACATGGAACCCAAGAGAATAATTCTACAGCCTTGTGTGCTGAGGCAATTCACAGGACTGGTGCAAATCGCATGTGCACTAAAGTTCAGTAGTTTCTCTGCTTCAAGGAGTTTTGCAGGCAGAGTATGAACAATTTTTTTTTTTTTTTTTTTTTTTTTGAGACAAGGTCTCAGTATGTAGTTCAGATTGACTTATAGTCACTATGTAGCCCAGGCCGGCCTCTTTCTGCCTTAGCCTCCTCTGTGCTGGGATTATAGGAGTGCCTCAACTGGCTCGGCCTCCAGGGTAGCCAGTATTGCCAGAGGAAAAAACAGGAAGGCCACAGAGCGTATGTGACTCAGCATCTGCAGGGACCCTGGGTGTGGGATGTGGTATCTGAAAGGGTTGCTGGCCCAGACCGGACACTATAGCCAGAAAAAGCCTCAGCTGGAATTAGGGAGCTCCTGCCTCCCCCGCCCCTAGAGATTTACCTGTAACCCTAACCCCCACCCTTAGAAACCTGCCCCTGGCGCCAAACTAAGACCAATGGGCTACCTGTGCATCCCTAATGCCCCTTAGGGTCCACCCCAGACCGAGGCTACTTATGTGCCTCACTCCACGTGTTCTAGGGAGAGATCGCCAGCCCGGGGTGGGGTGGAGATGCCGCGCCCCGGGGGGTCGGGGGTGTCTCTCCCCGCATTCCCGAAATAAAGGTTACTTATATTTTATACTTATTATCTTTTCAGCCACCACCGCCGGCCTTCCCCCTCTTCCCCTTGACAGACCGATCAGTATCCAGGTCTACCCACCAAGGGCACAAAACTCCTGGGAGGCTCGTCAACACCTCTGTTGGAGGAACAGCCGAGTAAGTCGGTTTAAAACAAATACCATCTGGTAGAGGGGCCGGATGCAGCGGAATATTCCTGTTCTTCAGTAGTTCTGGCTGCTCTCAGGAGAGGGACTTCACAGGAGCGGCTGAGCTGTGATTGCAAATAATAAGAGAAAAATCCCGAAATGTCCTAAGTTGCGTTCAAAGGCCATGGAGCTCTGAGAAGCCGGTCAGTTAACACCTTTGGACAAACCCAAACCATAGCGCTCCATGTTCCTAAACCCTTGCTCAACACCGCAGGACGGCACCAAGGAGACTACATTCTGCTGTGCAGAAGCAGCCGTTCTTCCTTGTGGTCCCTAAAGCTATCTTCCCCCCACGAGACACGAGGCTGCGCCTGATCTCCCCAGACACTCTAGTTCCTGGTCCGCTGCTGCAGGTGGTCCCAGAACGCGCTTCCGGCTCCGGCTGGAGTAGCGCAGGGAGCGGTCTTTTAGATGCCTTGGGCTCCATTTTTTTTTTTTTTTTTTTTTTGTCTTTTTCTTTTTTATCGATACCGGGGATCGAACTCACGACTGCCTGCTTGCAAGGCAGACGCTTATGCCGCTGAGCTAAATCCCCAGCCCCGGGCTCCATCTTTTAAATGCGTCTGGGCTAACAAGACAGTGACTGTGTCGCTTCCCTTACAGACCCGCTTAGTACCTGCCGGCCCGGGAGGGATCGTGATCGGCCGGCCTCAGTCCTTATACGTCATCCAGCTGTGCCCGACTGCGTACGTCATTGCGACGCGCTGGTCCCGCAGACTGCCGGAGCCCATCACTCTGGGCCAGCCCGCTCCCCCCCCCACCCCCGTTCACACCATAGCTTGGCCAGGGCTGCCCACTCCGGTCTCTTGCCGTGTTCCCCTAGTTATTGTCTCCACCGCGCCGGCTCCGTCCGCGACTCTTCTCTGCTACATTCCCGGCCTTGCTACTCAGTTATCCGGTCGCCCCGCCCCCTCGGGGTTTAAGTCACCACCGCTCCGTCCCCACCCCTCCCCTGAGTCGGCCTCGGTCAGGGGCCTAGCTCCTCTGCCGCCGGCCCGGCCCCGCCCCGCCCCGCCCCGCCCCGCCCTGCGGGCCTTTTCACTGCCTGCGAGCTCGGCCACTGCCCCGCCTCAGGTGTACCTCTGTGGCTTGCCGTAGTCGCTCCTGAAGACGTCCGCCCGGCGCGACCCAGTGCCTGCAGTCGAAAAGGTTTGTGCACTGCTCCTCCTTGGCTCAGTTTCCAGCTTGCGCGCTGGCTGTTTGCACGTTTGCGTCTTCGGACCTGGTTGAGGCCTCAAGTTGCGTTCCAGTGGGGGACAGGTCGGGAGGTGGGCGGCTGCGCGGGGCCGACAGGAGGAGGCCGGTGCAAGGATGCATGGGATGGCTTGCCACGAGCCGTCTCTGAGCAGGTATCTCTTCTGCGGCGTCGGAGGTCGGGGGCCGGAGATCGTGAGAGTAGAGATCGACCAACCGGGCGACGACTCCTGCGGATCCCCTCCTTGGCCAGGCTCGGGCCGCCTTAGGCAAACTGCACAAACCCACTCGTGCAGTCAGGTCTCTTGGAGACCTTGGACACCAGCGCGCAAACCTCTTTGAGAACTGGGGGCATTGCAAAGGCAGCCCTTGATTTACCCTCCTATAGGCAGGCATGATAATCCTCACCTCGCCGAGTTTTTCTAAATACTAGCAGGGATGTTAGAAGGCAGTGAGTCAAGCTCCAGTGTTTACATGGTGGCAGGCTTCCTCGAAATTGTCTGAAAACCGGCGCAGTAGGCTGGTCTGGTTCCAACCTCACCTGACTGTAATGAGCCATTTCAGCTGATCTCTACGGGCCTTTTTTCTTTTTTGTTTGTTTGCTTGTTTTTCTAAAGGCTTAACCAACCAGAGATTGAGAGTAAAAACAAAACAAAACAAAACAAACAAAAAAACCTCGGAGGGTTATGGCTCAATAGTAGACACCTTGTCTAGTATGTAATGAGGCCCTGGGTTAGATCCTTATAGCACTAAAAACAATAACAAAAAGTTTCATTCCCTAAACAGTATCATGTAACTATCATTTATGTAGCACTTTCATGTTATCAGGTATTACAAATCAATTAAAGTGAAGGAAGGGCTGAGAATGGTGGCACATGGTTATAATCTCAGACTTTGGGAGGCTGAAGTAGTAGGATCACTACTAGTTTGAGGTCAGCCCAAACTACATAGTGAGACTGTCTCAAAAAAATTAAAGTATATGAGAGTATACTTGTAGGTTCTATGCAGGTACTGTGCTACATCACTATATTTGAAGATCTGTGGATTTTGGTATCCAGTTAACAGCTCCATATGTGTGTCAGAAATATTTGATACGTTTGAGTCTGTGACTTATTTTGGCCAGGATTTCATGAGGATGAATTAAATGGAGGGGGTAAAGAAACTTTGAAAAGTGATCTTGAAATTTAAAAAAATACAAGATCCCTTCTCTCTTTGTCTAGCAGGTCACACAGCAACAGACCCAGACCCTAAGAGAGAATGGCAGCTGCAGGCAGCCTGCTTAGGTAAGTGGCTCCCAATCCTGCAGGACACTTGTCAGCCCACAACACAGAGTTCTCACCAAGACAAGGCTGTCGTCTCCTATCCTCAGTTCTGGGGAGTCTGTTCACTTCATCACCCATGATGGCCTCTTCTGGTTGTGGGGCCAGAGCTGCTTTGCCACCACCTGCAACCCTCACCCCAACTGTAGACCATGATGTCTGCTGGTGGTGGGCCATCCTGGCTGTGTGGGGGTGTTCTGTCTCAGTACCTTCCACTGACTGGTGCCTGTTGTCTGTAGCTTGCTACAGCAGAGCATTGTGAAGGCAGCTACATCTAGAAGCAGCTGCCTGCACACTTCCACGAGCCGGGCAGACTGCAGCAGGGCTGCACTCACTCGCCTGCACCGTCAGGCCTACGCACTTCTCTACCCCGTGCTGCTGGTCAAGCAAGATGGCTCCACCATTCACATCCGCTACCGGGAGCCAAGGCGCATGCTGGCAGTAAGTGTCCCTTGCAGGGGGTCTTGCTGGTGTTCTGAGGGAGGCTGAGTCAGGGTGAAGGGCTCACAGCCACTGTACTTGGGTTCTAGATAGCAGCACTACAGGTGGAGGGGAACAGCTTATTGGGCCAGAGCAGGGTTTCCACCTGTAACTCCTCCCAAGTATCAAAATCAGATAGAATGAATGATAAGTGTTTCAAAAAACTAACTCTGAAGAAAAGAAATACAAAAAAAAAAAAATTTCTCTTAGTACAGGGAACCCTTTGAAGGAGAGAAAGACCAACAGAATCTTAAAAAAAAAAAAAAAAAGTTAAAGGAGCATAGGTTGGAAGCCATCAGGTGAGGTCAAGGCCTAGGAAGGCATCGTGGTAGCTGTGCTGTTCCTTGGGCAGTGTTACATCTCAGCCTTTCCTCACAGATGCCCCTGGACCTGGACACCCTGACCCCTGAGGAGCGCCGGGTCAGGCTCCGGAAGCGTGAGGCCCAGCTCCAACACAAGAAAGAAGAGGAGCCAGAGCTCAATGATGACTTTGATGCTGAGCATTACAGACAGTTTTGGGCCAGGACCAAGAAGTAATTGTGCCTTGGGGGACATTGTATAGACAGAGGAAGATCTGTAAATTGTATGTTCCTGACATCACCAGCTCATGTCAGTGTCTTCCTTTACATGTGTGCCCTGGGCTACAGGTCCTCATCTCTGAGCAGCACCAGCCCAGAGCCAGACAGGCCTCAGGCTCCAGGCAGACAGAAGGTTTGGTAGATCTACCAGGAGGTAAATTGAACTTGTGCATTGTAGACACTACTGTAGGGTTGTGGTGCACATGGACAGCAGGGCAGAGAGGCCCAACAGCCACAGCCTTATATTCCCTACCCTCAAAAGCAGCCAGAGAGTTACAGAGCTCTTGACCTGACCCAGCAGGGGGACAGGAGCCAGATGTTCTTGGGTGCAGATCCCTTTAGGGCTGTGGTCTGCAGTTGATCACACTACCCATTGCTTCACAATCCCTTTTCTAAAAAGCTGTCCTATGGGCACAAAGAACCCAAATTCACAGCCAACCTGGGCAATTTAGCAATACCATTCAAAAAAAGTGCTAGGAATAGCTCAGTGATGTTTGATCCCTTAGTTTGATCCCTACTACTGTGAGGAAAGAAAAAGTACCACAGCCTAGGTAAGTTATAAACAGTGATTTCCCATCCTTCTGGATATGATTTGTTCTGCTAAACCTGCAGCTGGCATTGCCCCAAAGCAGTGGCAGAGCAGTTCCCATAAAGGATTGCCCCAAGCATTTTCCCGAGATAGGGCTGGTTTAGATTCCTAAAAAGAAACACTGTCTGCTAGTGATTAGCCCAAACATTTGCAGGGGACTGACTGCAGAGGGCTGTATGAGCCTCACAAGGGAGAAGCAGGATGCCCCTCAGGGGTGTTTGCTGCTGGGGTTGGGGTGCAATTTACATGAAGGTGAGAGGAATGTGGTTCAGGACAGGGCCAATTCCTTTTGGAGTTGGGCAACCTTTATTAGTGCCCAGGTGTCTCAAGCCCTGGCCAGCATTTCTTTGTATTCTTGGTTGAGACACAGGGGGAGAGAAATGGGTGAGTCACTTAGAAGACCACTAACCTTCTTGAGGCTGCACCTGCCTTCCCAGTGGCATCACAGAGGATGGAGGTGGTTTCAGTCTTCAATTTCAGGGACATAGTCCATAGGAGTGAATCCAGGCTGCCCAGTATACCTAATATTGCCATAAGTGTACAGTGTATGGACTGCTGTTTATGCAGAAGCCTCATTGGATAATACACAACCATGCAGGCTCTTAATGCGTTAGCTTTAGCTTGTTTTTCTCTGGATCCTAATCATTGGCTAACAGTTGAGAGTCAGTGGTTTTTCTAGGGATATAGCTCAGCAGCACATCGCCTGCCTACCAAGTGCAAGGTTGTGAATTCAATCCCCAGTATTAAAAAAAAGTCAGTGGTTTGAAAAGCGCTACGCGATTGCGTCAGGCTCGCCTTTAAGCAGCTATTTCTGTCGCCTTTGAGACAAAACGTTAAGTGCATTCTTATCAGCAAAGCACAGTCCCAGCATCAGCTCCACTGGCTAGCTATCATCAGCTTCCTACAGAGCACCAACCTATTTCTCCTGGGCAGAGATATGGAGCCTCTTTGGTGGGGCTTTGCTAACGTCATCTTGGCTCTGTGCCGGGCTCTGCTTTTCAGTGCATTGAGTGACCTGTGTGTTTCTCCTGTGACTTCATCTACTTCATGCTTGGAGGAGCCTGTCCATCCTTTCTCTCACCGCCAACCTTAACTGTATTTTGCCTCCAGCAAACTAAAATACAGGCAGAACTGAGCATGGTGGCACACATTTATGATCACTTGGAAAACTGAAGCAGGAGGATCCTGACTTTGAGCCCAGCCCGAGCAATTTAGCGAGATCCAAAAAGGTCGGGGGGGGGGGGGGGACAGACGGCCGGGGAATTTAGCTCAGTGATGTAAGTGCCTGCCTGTCAAGCATGAGGTCGTGAGTTCGATCCCTATACCAAACAAAAGTGAGCGGGGTGGGGTGGGTGGATGCAATTAGTGCAAATGCCTTGTGTTCAATAATTGCTGCAGAACACACAGGATGGCAGAACTAGCGCGGGTTCTTTGGCATTGCCTGCTTTTCTGTGAACACAGAGCCCACTCATCCCTGATAGCCCACGGTGATCAGTTAGACATCGTTGCTGGCTGGTCACCTCAGTTTCCAGTGCTATGTGTATGAGGCACAACTTCAGTAAAGGGTGCCATGGAAGAGTGACCGTCGGACAGCACCCTCCATGTCTTTGCCAGCCCAGTGCGTTCCACCAGCAGGAACGGATGGATTGGGCTGGGTAGGGGGCTTTGAGGGGGGCGTAGTGAGCAGTCTCGCGGTTAAAAAATTAAAATTCCAGGAGCCCCAGGGTCGGTAATATACTCCGCAGGCGCACGGGAACCTGGGCGCTCCGGCCAGCAGAGGAATGCAAAGCTCAGGTACCCAGAACCAGGTGGATGAGATACGCAAGCACACAGGGCCACAGCCGCTGAAACCCGCGGGGAGGCAGCGACTGTGTAGCGCGGACGTGCGAGGACCCGTTTCGGGAAAAGGCCGCCCCGGAAGGGGATCTCGCCGGCTCGGCATCACAGTGCGCAAGGTCGCGCGGCGGCGCAGGCGTGACGTCACGGAGCGCGTCACAGCGCGGCGGGGTCGAGCTGCTTTGCCACAGCTTCTCCGTGTTAGTGACCGCGGCGCCATGTTCGGCTCCAGCCGCGGTGGTGTCCGCGGTGGACAGGACCAGTTCAATTGGGAGGACGTGAAGACCGACAAGCAGAGAGAGAACTACCTGGGAAACTCACTGATGGCGCCCGTGGGCCGCTGGCAGAAGGGCCGCGACCTCACCTGGTACGCCAAAGGCCGCGCACCGTGCGCGGGCCCGAGCCGCGAGGAGGAGCTAGCGGCCGTGCGGGAGGCGGAGCGCGAAGCGCTGCTGGCCGCGCTGTAAGTGTCGCGGGCGCTGGGCGCGGGCGGGGCACCTGGGCGCGGCGGGGGCCGGGCCCTGATGCTTCTTCCCCTCCCTGCAGCGGCCACAAGAACGTGAGGAGGCAGCCTACCGGCCTGAGCAAGGAGGCAAGTGGGACGGGGACGGGGACGCGGGCGGGGGACGGCGGAGCACCTCGTCTTGTGCGAGCTAGCTGTGCACCTTGTTGCAGGACTTCGTGGAAATCTGCAAGCGGGAGGGCGGAGACCCAGAGGAGAAGGGCGTGGACCGGCTGCTGGGGCTGGGCAGCGCCAGGTGCGGCGAGTTGGGAAGGGGGACGGACCCGGGGCGGGGTCCGGTCCTCACCATCCTGTCCTCACAGTGGGTCCGCGGGCCGCGTGGCGCTGTCCCGGGAAGACAAGGAGGCCGCCAAATTGGGGCTGTCAGTATTCACGGTAATCTCTGCTGCGCCTGTGGCACGGCTCGGCTCGGCCCGGCCCGGCACGGCCTGGGGTAGGTGGGGGAGCCTGCCCTGGCCCGGAGCCTGCCCTCACAGCGCTTTGCTTCTTCAGCACCACCGTGTGGACAGGGATGGCCCAGGGGCCGCCGCGGCCAGGAAGAAGCCACGCGCGGAGGACAAGGCCGAGTCGGGGTAAGGTCCTCCTTGGGTGGAGGCCCGAGTCCTGCAGCTGCGGCTGGGCGCTTGACGTGGGCTCCTGGACCTGCTGGTGCTTCTCCCTTTACTTGGAGAGTATCTTGGGAGTACCATATCCAAGCCCTGCCCTGGGGACAGTGCTTGGCGGTGACTCATTGCTGGGGCTGGGGCTGGGGCAGGGAAGGAGACAAAAGCCAGTGGGGCTTTTTTGGCTAGACCAGGCAAGCCACAGCCTGGGAGCTTCATCCACTTCGAGGCCTGGGGAGCCTGGCAGATCACAGTAGTTGCCCCGGGGAAGGCAGCAGTGTGTGATGGTGGATGCAGGCAGGACTGCTGGCCTCGAGGTCCTTGTCAGCTTGGTAGCAGGTGGAACAGCAAGGGGCTGTGAGACTCCTAGGTTGGCACAGCCCAGTGGCACTTTTTGCCTCTACAAGTGTCCCGTATCTGCACAGTCCCTCATGCCGTCTTTTGTCACACAGCTGTGTAGTACTGGAAAGGCACTGGATGAGTACCTACCCAGTGTCAAGTCACTAAACATTCCACATAAGCCATGGCTCCCATGTTGCACACAGCAGTGCCTTGGCTGCTGTCAGGTTGGCTCCCATCCCTGGGGTTGGGATGAGGCTCTTTCTGTCCTTCCTGCTTGCAGGACAGAGAGCCACAAGAAAAGCAAGAAGGAAAGGAAGAAGAAGAAACACAAGAAACAGAAGAAAAAGAAAGACAAAGAGCACCGGAAGGAGGCTGATGCCTCTTCATCTGCCTCGCCTGATAGGTAGGCCCAGACCAGCCTAGGAGGCTTAGGAAGAGCAGGCTCCTGAGGCTGGAGTGGTAATCAGGCAGTCTTGAATGAGGCTCTGGGGTGCCCAGGATTGGTAGGCCTGAGCAAGAGTCTGGAGTGTGGTGGGCAGGGTGAGGTATTGCCTGCCAAGCTCCTTCTCCTAAGTGTCCTGCCGTCCTTGTCCCAGGCTTGGGCACTGCAGGCATGATTCTGACTCCTCCAACCCCAGCAGCAAGAGGCGGAAGTGGGGACACAGTGGGGACAGTGCCAAGAACTCGTCTCACAGACAGGACAGAAGCTGTGATACCTGAGGCTGCAGCTGAGCTGCTGGATAGCACAGCCTCTGCAGCCCCAAGCTGGGACCTGGTGCACTGCTGCACTGTGAGGGCCTGTGGATCCTGAGTGGCCATAGCTACCCACCATTATTGCCTGCTGGGTCTGCCCTGGGGAGCTCCTGTATGGGAGAAGAGGTGCCTGCTAGGCCTTGGAAGCCAGCTGGCAAGCTCCAGCGGAAGTGAAGTCACTTGAGGAGGCCTTTCCAGGTCTTGGGCCTTAGCCTGCCACCAGACAAAGGTGAATCTACCCAGGAGGCTCTATCTTGTTCATGGCTGTGATGGTTCAGGGCTCCTGAGGCTATGACCAGGTGCAGTTATTTTTCTTTCCCTATCAACTCCTTTTGTACTTAAATAAACTTATTTTAAAAGAATGTATTGTAAAGAGTGGGAGACCAATGTGCAGATTTACTGAAGCACTCAACCAGGACAGGGATAGTGCTCCACCGATCTGGCCTGTCTTCTAGCTCCCCTCCCAGGGACCTTCATGTTTGCAATGGGGTCTTGCATAGGCCACAATGAGTTTATATATCCTCGATCCCAAGTCCTCCCTGTGTTTATATGACCAGGCAGGACTAGTGTTTGGGCTTTGGTCATTCAGTGTCCCAGTAGACCCTGGGGATGAGAGCCCTATCAACTTCCAACGCCTTATAAGCAGACAGCTGAAGTCAAGCAGGAGCAGCCTTGGCTGGGGCAGAGGTACACCTGGAGCCTGTGAGGAACAGCCAGCCCCTGCCTTGGTGCTGCCTTACAGGTGAAAGCCAAAAGGGAACTTGATTCCTATTACTTTGCTCCTGATTCTAGAAGAAACTGACATGTTGAGGGCAGCCCAAAGCACACCCTGTGGGTATCCATAGAGACCTAGGCTTGCCTTTGCTGCTACATTGACTTAGCCTGCCTGAGCAGACTGCTGCTCTCTCAGGGTACTGACCTGGGGATGCAGGTAGGTTCACCTGGCTGGGGCAGCCTCTCTGGGACACTAGGCATTGGAGGGCACAGTGTGAACTTAGTGGACACTGCTACCAAAGGACAGGGGTGGGGTGGGGAGTCCTTAAATCTATTGGCAGAAAACCTGTGGCTGGCAGTATTCCTGCACAGAGGAAGGGACCCAAGACAAGCACACATCCCACCACCACAGCACTCACTGACGCCCCTCTCATACAACCAGTGAGGCCTGACCTATGAAACAGTAATCCAGGAGTAAGGCCATCTGCAGTTTCTCCCATCTTGTTCAGAGGCAACCTGGTGACACAAACAATGGAGAGCCTGTGAAATAGTTAAGAGACTTTATTCTAATAGCTATAATTACAGTGCTTGTCGAAATGAAAACTGAAAACAAGTATACAAAACGATTGATTACTAATCGTGTATTGAAAGCAGTAAGAGGTTCCACAACACCAAATAAACCAGTTCTGAAGTTTCCCCAAGATAAATTTAACAGCTCCAGCTTCTTCAGTGTTTATCAAAATACAAAAAAAAGTAGAGGTCGTCTTTTCTGATGGCAAATCAGACCCTTGCAGGCTGAGGGAGGAAGCTAGTTCACACACGGGACCATGGTCTGGAGTGGACCAACTGACCCAGCTTTGCACACGATCCTGCTGGTGAGACCCAGACTTTGGCCAACGCGTCCGAGTGGGCAATGGGAACGGGCTGCCACTCCAGTTGCACGCTGACCGAGGGGGAGGGTGGGCCCCGCACCCGTCATGGCCCTCCCAGCCTACCCCAAGGTGACCGTGTGAGCATGAGTACAAGCACAATGCTATGGAATGCAGGTGACCCAAAGACAGGTGGGCCACGGGGTCTTTACTGTGACCATGCAGTGGATGGCATTTGTTCCTCACATCTCTTGTGTTCCCCAAGGAACAGCTGATCTGATGACTTGCATTCAGGCCAAACTGCAAAACCTACACTTCTGTGTGTTCAAGTGTTCTTGTCTTGAAATTTTTAACTATTTTTAAAAATGCACTGAGTTTGGGTTAAAAACCAACCACCAAATGGATCCTGACACCACTAAGCCTAGTGGCACCTGGAGACCAGGTGCCCATGCACTCAAATCCCTTCTCAGTACTGATAGTGAGTTGATTTTGTTTTTTACAATAAAAAAGCTGAGTAATATTGCATAGGAGTACCAGAAACTGCCTCAGTGGAAACAGAAACTATTTACATTAAATAAAAACCTGGCTGCAGGCTGTGTCTGCACATGTTCAGCACGGTGCGTGCACACTGTGACCAACCCATGGAGACAGCTTCTGGCACTCAGGACCACAGAGTCGCACGTTTGCCACATGAGAGGAAAGCGGAGGGCGGAGAGGAGGAAGTAAGGGGAAGGGGGGTTCTGGTTCACTTCTGGTTCCGGAGCTGATTGGACAGCCAGTCCAGTCCTTCATAGAGCCCGTCCCCACTGGTGGCACAGGTGGCCTGAATGTACCAGTTCCTGTGGCGTAGAGAGTGCAGCCCCAGCTTGTCTGTGATTTCAGCTGCATTCATCGCGTTAGGGAGGTCCTGGGGAGAAAGATGGGTCAGCAGCAAGGCCAACCATCAGCCTTGTCCAGGGCCCTTCTCCCTCCTCAAGGCAGGTGCCTTGGGAGGAGCCTGCTGGCACCTACCTGCTTGTTGGCAAATACAAGAAGAACAGCATCCCGGAGCTCATCCTCGGCCAGCATTCTCATGAGCTCCTCACGGGCCTCATTCACACGCTCTCTATCATTGCTATCCACCACAAAGATCAAACCTGCAACATAGCCAGGACAATGGCAAATGCTGAAAATGGCCCACCCAACCACACCCACGAGCAATGGACCCAACCCCAGGGGTCACAGCTGGACCTAAGGGCTCTGGGCTCCAGTCTTCCTGGTCATGATACTGCAGTGTGGCACTGTGCCCAGGAGAGACTAGATGTCTGAGGACACAGATGAGAGGCAATTGGGATGAGGACTGGCCGCTCACCTTGGGTATTCTGGAAGTAGTGACGCCACAGTGGCCGAATCTTGTCCTGGCCACCCACGTCCCACACAGTGAAGCTGATATTCTTGTATTCGACAGTCTCCACATTGAAACCTAGGAATCATATTGCAGCTGTGGGCCCTCAGCACCCAGGAGCCACCATAGACCCAGCCCCACACCCAGCCCCAGCCTGGCTTCTCACCTATGGTAGGAATGGTGGTCACAATTTCACCAAGCTTCAGTTTATACAGAATCGTCGTCTTTCCAGCAGCATCCAAGCCCACCATGAGAATGCGCATTTCTTTTTTGCCAAAAAGGCCCTTGAAGAGGTTCGCGAAGATATTCCCCATGCTCGTGGATGCGTGGAATCAACACTGGCCAGAGACCTGGGGAAGCAAGGTGTCCTAGACCTGTTCTCATACTGCCAGTGCAAGCCCCATGGCAGGTCAGACACAACCCACCCAGGGATGCCATTTCCTCTCGTCCCTCCTCCTGGAATCCCACAGGGAGGATACATCACAACCCTGGTTCCCAGATGACAGAAAAACCTGTCCACCTGGATGAACACTTAGCCCCCACAGCCAACTTATGTGGCCGGTTCTTTCTGTAAAAAAGTCCATATGCCCTGATTCCAGCAAGCTACAGGACAGCTCCACAGCCACACTCAGAAAGCAAGTAAGCTATTTGTGTCAAAGTCCTGCTTTCAGAGGCATGTGACGTCTCTACAGTCAAACACGGCTTCTGGTACAGAAGGAACCACCCAGTTATGTTGTCTCCCCACTATACCAGCACCTGACGGCAAACAGCAACTACAGCAGGGCTAGGACTTCGTCTTCCTCCATTGCCCCTACCATCAGAGAGCAGGTCTCATTGCAGTCTCAAGACCATGGGCCACCTTCCCAATGTGCCAAGCAGCTTGGTGGCAGCATACCACAGGACAAGTCCAGGAAGCACTATGGTGTCACCTGGTGGGCAAGCCAGGTGGGCACCTCTGCCAGTTCAGGTTGGGACTACAACCCATGAAGCAATAGCTCAAGTGACCTTACAAGGTGTCCACAGTAAATCCTGGGAGAACACTTTGGAAGACATGCACACAGGAGGAGGACAGACTTGCAAGAACACATTTTGTGTCTGACACATACTATAACAAGTCCACTAGCAGAACAGAAAGCTGGCAGCATCAATTAGGCCAACAGAAGCAAAGCACAAGAGGATTGAGACTTGAAGCCCTTTGTGGAGGACACAAAGCTTCCCAGACCCTGGGCTCACCACTTGTGGGTACTTTGGGCCCTCAGCTGTTTTTAGTCCAGAGACTACCACTTTCTAAAATGCTAACTGCTGGAAAGTTACCAGAAGCATCTAAAAATAAAAGCAAGCAAGGGGCATTATGTGGTCTTCAAAACGAAAAGATGCATCTGTGTTTATGTAACCCACAGGAAAGTGAACAAGCACAGTACAAGGCAGAGTGGCTTATCAACAACAGATGTTTACTGCCACAGTCACAGAGCCTACAAGTCCAGGATCAAGAGCTAACAGTGTCCTGTGGAAGGGAGGAATGTCCTCCTGTGGTGGAGGAGCAGGACAGCAATTCCATTGTTGAAGCTCCTTTCATGGGGGCCCTGGCCCATTTATGAGGAGCCTTGTGACCAAACAACTACCCAACACTCTGCATTAGGGTCCCATGTCCCCCTGACTTCTCTAAATCTTGGAGACACACAGAGTCCACAGCACTGTGTGTGAACTGGCATATGGGAAATCACTGTCCTTGACAGCACTGTTCATTTATTCCTTCATGGCAATCCTTGCACAACTCTGCACTGCCTGTGCTGTGCTCTGTGACCATATGCACATACCAAGGATTCCCTTCTTATAAAAGACCTTGCTCCTGTCACACTATGTATGGGTTTCAGTGCCCTGGCATCTTGAGAAGGCAGATGCCCAGGATCACATCTAGAAGTGTTAACCTCATCACTCCTCTAGCCACTGGCTGGAAAACAGGCTGCACAAAGTGCCCTCAGGACATTGTCTTGCAAAATGTCACATACTCAAAAAATTACACATCTGCTGGGAGTGATGACGCATGCATGCCTGTAATCCCAGCACTAGGAGGGTGAGGTAGGAGGATCACTGTGAGTTTGAGGCCAGCCTTGGTCTACATAGTGAGTTTAAGGACAGTCTGAACTACAAGGTAAAACCCTGTCTCAAAAAAAGTCTGAAATTACTCAAGACTTTGTGATCATAGCCCCCTTTTCTGGCAACAGCCAGGTCCTTGGGTGCAAAGGATAAAATGTGTCTGGGGAACCTGGAGCAGACTACCACCACTGTTCAGTGCTCACCTGAACCACTGCTTATATGGGGAACAAAACTATCGGAGAGAAAAGGGAGAGAGATGTTTGGAGCTACACACAAGACTCAATCTTTATTCTTCCCA